ACCCACAGCCTCGCCTTGCTAACTTTGCTACACCACACCCCCGAACTTTCGCAAGACAGCGTCCATTCGGCAGCGCGCGCCTCCAAGTTCAGAGACCCATGGTGTGCAAGCAGGCCTCCATCTCTGCGGTGAGATGCTTCCCGGCCCAGCCGCGAGCGTTCATCCTCGAAGAGACGCAGTGCACATCGAAGTTCGGGAGGCCGGCGTAGTGCTGCATGCAGCGAACGCATCCCTCACTGGCCGCGTAAAGAAATCTGTACTGGGCTTTTCGCTCTGCCGTCAGCTTGTCGTGCTTCCTTTCGAAGCCAAGGCAATGAGGCGCATCCGGACAGTCAGATCCCGGACGCTCGGTCTCAGATGCAGGCCCGGGCTCATTCCGAGATGCAGGCCTTGTCTTCGGGCCGGCAGACGGCGGCTGCGGTCCACGCCTCCCAGAGCCTGCCGCCCGCGAAGCGGTGTCATTTGCATGACTCCAAAACCCGCTGTTCGCAGAGCCGGAGGTGCCGGAGAACCACGGGGGGACATCAGCGAGATTTTTGCGATACGTTTCAAGACGAGTCATTTCGCCGGTGAGAAACTTGGTGATCTCATTCCCCACCGGGCCGATCTTGTCTGGATGGCACCGAAGCATCATCTTTTTGTACCTGTTCCTCAGCAACTTCATGTCTACAGTCGCTGCGCATTCACCAAACACTCCAAGATGATCAAGAAAGTTCTTGAAAGATCCATCCATGTGCTCCACACACGCTGCTTTCGCAAGACAGCGTCTGCACTGCGTAAACAGAATAGCTACAATCGCACCGATCTTGAGCCAGGCTGCAAGAGACTGGCATCACGTGCAGAGCATACCCTGCGAAACATATGTGCAGCAGAGGCAAGGTGCACGCTGTCTTGGAATTGGAAAAAAAAAACACAAACACACAACGCGTCGCTGCACCACTTGAAAGCTTACGTGCGAGGGACGAGTTAGTGTTTTATCACGATCATGGAAAACAAACAAGGAACGTGTTTGTTTAGGCAGAAACGTTTTGCTGCATTGAGCATGTGTGATGTGCCTGCGTGTGAACGTTGCTCAAGTCGGAGCCGGGCAGAAAATTTCGAAAGGAAATTTTCGAGAGGGGAGAGTCCCACAAGTGGACCGGGAAGGGTCCTCAAAGAAGGAAGGTTTGCTGTTGTCTCCTCAGCGTGCGAGACAACAATATTTGTGTCGTTGAAGAGTGTAAGCGCGTGATTGCAATGGCATCAGATCAAAGAGATTCTGCTTCGGATATCCACAAGCAAGTGACAGTCTCAGACAGGGTTTTTCCTTGCAAGCTTCGTTGCATAGTCGCTCTTGACCGGGTGTTGGGGCCAACGATCAGCTCCACCCTACTGCTCATGCCTCAGAGAGAGAATGCACGCAGTGTTCGCACCGACACTGCAGGCGCAGTATTACAGGTTAGAAAAGGCATAGCTCTTTCCCGGGAATCCGTGCTCGCCTCAAGCCATGTGCAACAAGCGGAGACACGTATGAGCATCATGTCAGTGCTCAGATGAAAAGAAAGGCAGGTGAGGCAGACCTGCCCTGAGACACACCTCACGGATACATTTTCCGAATGCAGGTACAAGCGAATGATCGTATTTCTCATAACACGGCCGTCACGCTCGACATCCAGCTTAGTTGCAAGGACATTGTGGATCAAGCGAAGTGGCTTGTTGCTCAAAGACTCTTCGAGCTGTTTGGTCGTTTTCCGAAGTTGAGTTCTTTTCACCTGGTTCAGGACGGCAGGCACCTTAGTTTTTCAGCGCCAGTGCTTGTAGCGAATACGCTATCACCTGTGATCTTCGTGCGAAATGCCTAAAAGCAGGAGTCTGCAGTATGTGCTCTGCGGTCTTGCTTCCGTCGCAGAGAGTTCCAAGTGACCGCAGTGGCCCATCTGACATCAAGCCGCACAAGGCGAATCCGAGGTCCCCGGTGTCGCATGGAAATCGACAGCTCGGATTACAGCGGCGATAGCCCAAGTACGCTCAGTCTCGTCAGCAGACATGTTACTGAGCTCGAGCGCCGAATTTCCACCATCCAGGCGCATGTTAGAGCGTGCGAAAGGAGGATACTCATTCTTGAACATCGCGCAGAAGCAGTCGAACCTGGCACCCCACTCAACGCCCAGGGTTACTTGCCCTGGTTCATCAGATGCTGCTGGAGCCGCGCACTGCCCTGACTCACCATCAGGGTATGTCTGCATCATCAAGGCAATCGACAGGCAGTGGGTCGGTCACTGAGAGAACACCTGCGGTCTCCCTGATGACGCGAGTTTGAATAAGCAAAAGTGTGCGTTTCTAGTGCTCCAGAGTATTGTGCAGTTCTGTCAGGCATCCCAGCGGAGATGTGTTTGTCAGGGACAGCTCCAGGAACAACCCGTAGACTGCAAATGTAGCCGTATGCAGCTCAGACACCATGTCGGCAAACAGTGAAGAGGTTTTTGAGCGGGATGAAGACATGTCGTCCTGGAGTTCGGCGTTCGCGCCGGTCAGTAAACCAGCAGATTCTTCGAAGAGCAAGCGCAAGAAGCATAAGAAGCGGAAGAAGGTGAAGAAGAGACACTCCACGACACAGGAGCGCAGGCGATGTGACAAAGAAGAGACCAAGAAGCGAAAGAAGAAAGAGAGGAAGTCGGCATCAGTCCCGGAAGATGCCGACAATCGGGCAGAGCAGTTGCCCTCCTCCAGCTACACCGCCCGAGACCCTCAGGAGCAGGAGGGTTCAGCCCACGAAGGGCTTCCCGCCAACTTGGGCAGGTGGGTCTTCCATGCCTCTTGGGAACCGACAGAAGAAGGAGACCAGCCGGAAGCGCCTCCCAAACGCAGTCCGGGGAGAGCAGCTGCGAAGATGCTGGTTCGCGCCGGCCTTCGCTGTAAATGTCATTTCGCTCTCGACTGCCCCTCTCGAGAAGGCAACAGGCACGGTCCCCAGAAGTCACTTCCTGTCGTTTTCAGACACATTCCTTGAGCAACTCTGGCCCGCGAGGGATCGCTAACACGGGCAACTCGTGTTCGAGGCCAATGCAGTGACGTGCAGGGCTGGGAGAGTTTCCTGCGTGAGCAAGACGCACCCTCGCAGAAGCCTATGATGTTTATGCTACTCGAGCCGGCTCAAGAGCTTTCAGTTTTCACCTTCGTTTCACCCTCCGTCTCACAATGGTGACGCCATTCAGCTTCGGCGCATCGCCCTACCTCCCCACTCGCATGGGCAGAGGTCGCAGAGACGACTCCGACTCCTCTGACAGTGAGGAGATGATTCCGACGATCTACGGGCTCATGCCCATGAGGCGAAAAGCTAAGAAGAACCGCAAGCACAAGAAGAGCAAAGAGTCCAAAAGAGACCGACGCACCAAGAAGAAGGCGTCGAAGAAGCGCGCACCCAAGGCAAAGAAGAGCTCGTACAGCTCTGAATCCTCCTCGTCCTCGTCTTCGCCGGAACGCCGCCGCCACAAGCGCAAGGAGCGTGCGGAAGCCGCTCCCTCGAGCCACAAGGGGGAGTCTTACCACACACCGTCCTTTACGAAGGACCATTCCTTTGGAAGTGGCAAATGGGGCGGACAGAGCTCCGGGTGGAAGCAGCCAGGCTGGCACTCGAACAAACAATGGCAAGCCAAGTCTTGGCAGCCCAGAGGCTCCGGCAAGCCCTGGAACACTTGGACGGCGCATGAGAAGGGTTACCAGTGGAAGCTCCCCGAACAGGAAGAAGAAGCCGAAGATAGGGAGGAAGCTTCCATGCAGGAAGCACTCATGAAGAGTGCAATGGAGGAGGCGTGGTCCGACCGCACTCGGACTTTGTCCTACAGTGAACTCCCGGCGGATCAGCGCGGCCCCCCCTACAAAGAAGTCATGGAGAATGTGGAAGCTGATGACATCGAGCGCATGGCCGCGCGGATCAAGGAGCACTCCCGCCTCCCGGAGGCAATGATCAACTATGTGTCCCGGTTCCTGGCCTCCCTCCCCGACGGGACGCTGCCGCAAGAGTTGAAATGGGCGCAGCATTCAGGATCGCATTTCTCCGCCTCGATCCTCGAACTGGAGCTTAACCCCGACATCGCCGCGCCGGAGCAGCTCCAGATCCCGGACCCCGTCCACTCGCAGAGTCTGACGGCCGCTCACGGCACGAAGTGGTCCTCGGCTCACGGCATTTTGAGCCAAAAGATCATCCGCCCTCAAGCAGCTCAGACCGACCAGTACCCGCCATACGGGTTCTTCGCCCGTGGCAGCTGCGAGCAGTACTCCTCGCACACGGCAATGAAGGCCCTGGAAGGGGTTGCGAGGAAAGCAAAGGCCTCGGGAAGTGGCATCGCAATTTTGGTGTCCGCAAGGGCACACGCGGTCCAACTCTTGGAAGGAGGCGTGGGCAAGCTTCATGCAGCTTGCAGAAGAGACTGGGCGGCGCGATCCTCATCGGACCAAAGTCTGTGCATCAGGTCGGAGGGCGCGACCATAAAGGCCGTGGCGTTCATGTGGCCGCGGTAGTTGCCTCCAAATCTTTTCATCTAGTTCAGTCCGAGGGACTCGAACGACCTCGGGAGATTTTGTTGTCGGGGCTCCCGGGATGATGACGAACTGCGCAACCACCGCCGAGAAAAGAAGCCGAAGCTGCCGCTTGGCTTGGAGATTGCACCCACTGAAGCGAGCATACTCCTTCGGATCATCGGATGCTAGGAAACTTGATGCATTCCCAAGGAAGACCGCCCGCGCCTCAGCAACGTCAAGCCGTACTTGAGTCATGTAAGGGTTCCAAGCATCGAGTGTCAGGAAAGACAGTGAGGGAGCATCCCAGAGAAACTGCCCACAGAAGGGCGAAACTGGCCCTGAGTGTGCCGCGGTAAATCGCTCTGGGAGTCAGAGCTGTGACGTTTCGCGAAGAAGCAAGCTTCGCTAGAAGTCCTCCGAGCAGAGGAAAACGCAGCGGGGAGATCCGCAAAACTCGCCGTCGCATGTCGCAGTTGTTTTCTGCTGAGCCTCTTGCCGTGTTGCCTTTGTCCGTGCAATTTCCTCGTTTGTCCCTGCGTTCTGCTCGAGCAAGCCGTGTCACAGTTTTGAGCCACGCTGAAAGAGAATGTATTGCCAGGACGGGCCGAGGAGCCCTTGCTAGATCACGAGGTGGAGTAGCCTCACAAAGAAGCGAGCCTACGGCATTTAGGGAAACTGACAGGTGTGTCGTGTCAGTCTCACCCAGCAGCATGGCGGAAGAGAGTGAAATCGACAGGCTGCTCGATTTGGAGCGGCTAGCAGAGTTGGAAGATCCAGGTGAGTTGGATCAGTGGCCAGAGCAGGAACGGCCCGAAGCAACATTAGCGCTCACGCCAGCTGAGTCAGAGCTTTTCTCTGCATCGGCCAGTGCCCGGCCCCAAAACCAGCAAAGTTCGCCGAGCGGCGTGCTTCAAGGGCGCGAGTACGAGCAGGCCCTGCAAGGCTGCTTGTTGAGGGCTGCTAAACGGCCAAGAATAGTCATGCCTTGGGAGACCCCCTTGATGCGGGACATTTTTGGAACCACTGAGCCCCCGGTCGTGGTGCCGCAAGCTCAGTTACAAACCACAGCCCCGCCTTCCGAGCCGGACCGAGACCCGGGCGAAGCCATTGGCAAGATACTTATGCCACCCAGAGCGGGGGCGTCATCCGCTTTGTCGGCAGTCAAGAACCGCCCCAACGTGAATTTCCCCAAGAGTGAACAAGCTTCAAGACTGAAGGGAATCTCTCTGTGGTGCGACGTCATAGGGGTCGCTCCACAACACTTCGGCATCACCAGGCACGTCCAGCTATCGGACGAAGACAACGGCGGCCAAGTCGCCACCGAGCTTTTCACGTGTGTCGATGCAGTGATGGGGGTCAAAGCCCCATCCACCATCAACTCTAGAGGGATGGTTGTGAAAAGGTACCTTTATTGGTGCACGCAGAACGACAGGTTAGCATGGCCGATGAAGGAAGCAGTGTCGTTCGATTATGTCCACCACCTCAAGGCACTTGGTGCTCCAACCGCTCCGGCCTCATTGCTGCAGGCGGTAAACTTCATGATCTACACGATTGAACCCGAGGGAGCAACGGCCATCATTTCCAGCTTCCTGATTCAGGGAGTGGCTAAGCAAGCCTCGAGCAAGAAGAGACCATTGAATCAGGCGCCGGCGCTTACCGTCGCCATGGTACTGCGCTTGCACGCCATCCTCAGGAACACATCTGAAGGAGTTTTTGACCGGCTAGCTGCAGGACTCATGCTCATGTGCGTGTATGGACGCTGCAGATGCTCCGACCTCAGACACATTGAGGAGATATGTCTGGACATTACAGGGAGGCACGGCTTTATCGAAGTCCGGACGGAACATCACAAGACAGCCAACAGAGAAAAGAGAAGGCTCCTGCCCATCGTAGCTCCAGCCTTTGGAGTCACAGACGAGAACTGGGCCGAGCAGTTCCTAACCTTACGGAAGCAAGTCCTCGGCGAATTTGCGCCCGGGCCATTCCTCCCCGCTCCTCTTTCTGACGACTCCTTCTCTGAGCGCAGCCTCGAGAGTGACGAATTCACGTCGTTGCTGCGCTACCTACTAAGGCAGCTGGATAACGTAGAAGATCTCACATCTCACAGTTGTAAGGAGACGGTGCTGGCATGGATGGCCCGCTTCGGGGCCGACAAACCCACCTTGGAATTCCTAGGTCGGCACGTGGGGAGCATTACGTCGAGCGACGTGTATGCCAGGGGGATGCAATCCCGGCCTCTGCGAAAGCTCGCGATGGCTCTAAACGCCATACGGGCGGGTACATTCCTGCCCGATGAGACAAGAAGCGGTCTCTTCAGGTCCCGCCAGGACAGCCGGCCCATCGAGACGGGCATTAACTCCCGTGGGGAACCATCAGAAACGACGTCTGCCTGGAAGGTAGTCTCGAACGAAGAAGAAAGGAGTCCTGCCTCTCCTGATCGAGACCAGGAAACAGCATCATTGCCGTCGGCAGCACCAGCCCCGGTGTCGGAGGAGGAAGCCAACAGCGGTGCTGAGGTTCCAAAAGAATCCGGTGCAGGCAGCACGTCGGATTCCTCGGACAGCTCTTCCTCAGAGTCGGAATCACAATCTTCCCAAGAATCAGCAGTCATGCCTCCGCCGGGGGCCGGCAACTTGTTTTTCCTGAATCCTAAAGGGAAGGTCCACATACTGGCAAACGAGTCAAGCCAGACTTTTAAGTGTGGCAGGAAGTGGCACGGCAGCATGATACCTGTCAGGTCACTAGGGCAGGGAGCCGAGACCTGCTCGCAATGTGATCCGAGTGCTTTTCCAATTCGCACAAGGGCGGACCTTATTGAAGCGATCAACAAGAAGCTCAAGCGGTGAATAAAATGCACCTCCAGTAGTTGAGAGTGAGTTATCGAGTCGAATCTCAGCTGCGGTGATGCCGCAGCCCCCCTTTTAAGAATCAAGAGATTGGCTAAAGCCTCAAATCATGCCCTCACTCCTGGACAGCGAAGCTCAGTTCCTGCAGCGCGCTGCTGAGCTTGGCATACCGGATGCGGCGGCACAGGCGTTCAAGAGGCACGGTTTGGCGACACTCAATCGCTATGGTTTTGCCCACGGTCAGCCGGGGCAGCCGATCGACGAGACCCTATTCAACACCTTTTTCGAAGGCATCGCCGGGGTAGGGCAATCGCTGAGAACATTGTCAGCAGCCAGGAACCTTCTGTTTGAGGCCCACGTGTTTATCAGCGCCAGCCTCAAGAACAGGGTTGAAGCGACGGCCGACACAGCAAAGCCGGTCCCGAGAGCGGAACGCAGCGCGAGGCTCGACAGCCTTCGTGCAAAGTACCCAGGTCTCGAAATTTCCAAAGGTCTGGAGCCAGGGCACGCCATGCTGGATTCGGCCTCGCATCAAGCTGAGTCCAAAATACTCAAGTACATGCCGCCCTCCAGGTGTGCATCCAGAGAACAGGAAATGATGAGCAATAAGTCATCGGCCAAGCTCTTGGAAATTGAGGGCTCACAGGTCAAGGTCAAGGAGAACGACAAAGGACTGTTCATCGAGAACAATACCGAGTTCCTGGTCTACCAGGCACTACGCAGGCGCGGCTTGGCATATGAGTTCGCGGATCTCGTCACATTCACCGTCCACCAGAAATGGGTGGATTGGCTGTTCGGAGAACTATCCAAAGAGCAACCGGCCCGGTTCCAAAAAGTTCAGATGTTCCAGATCCTGCGAGCAGACAAGGCAGCCTGGCTTCACATGGCTGACGTGGTAAAGGATATCAGACCGTCAGACGGCACTAGACCTATCGACGCCGAGTTCGCCAGGTTGCCCACGGTACACTCGGTCGTGTTCGCACTCCTGCCCTTGCAGCAGTTCAGCCCAAAGGGAGGTGACCAGAAGGGCGACCGGGCCGGCAAGGGCAAGAATGGCAAAGGTTGGAAGGGCAACAGGCCGTCTCCGTATGACATGCCGCATCAAGACACGTGGTTTAGTCGCAAGGGAGGCAAGGACCGGAACTCCAAGGGCAAAAGCAAAGGGAAGGGCAAGGGCAAGCACCAGCAGGATAACTATGAGGCTCCTCGCATGCCCAAGCTTTTGCTTGGCCTTCACTACAAGTGCCCCACGTCTGGGAGGCCCATCTGCTTTGGGCACAACTTACCCGGGGGATGCCCCGCGGGGAAGAACAACGAGTCCGAATGCGACCGAGGCTTGCACATTTGCTCCAAGTGCCTGGGCTCTCACTCGTACAACCAGTGCCCGCAGCGGCAGACGAACTGACCATCACAGACAGAGGGCCTCTATCCCTCCTTGAATTTAGGAGGGAAAGTTTTCCAGTCATGCTTCGCCCTCGAGCTTTTCGCGGGCACCGCGGGCATCACGGCCGCCATGAAGAGTGTCGGCCTGTCAGCAAGCTTTGGCATCGATAGTTTTCTTTCTCCCTCTAGAAAGGGGCCGGTGATAAGGTTGGACCTTTCACTTGAGGCCTCTCAACACCTTGTTTTCCAGATTTTAAGTTCAGATCAGCTAGTTTTTGTGTGGATGGCGCCACCTTGTGGAACGTGTTCGCGGGCCAGGGAGATCGCCATGAGCACCTCTCGCTACGGACCAAGACCTCTCCGTTCGGATGATTTCCCAGACGGACTGCCGCATCTACTTGATCACGAAGCAGAACGTGTGAAGAAAGCAAACGAGCTGTACAAACTTGTGACTCAAGTGTGCATTAGATGCACGGACAAGCAACTCCCCTGGACGGTGGAGAACCCCTTCTCCTCCTTGTTCTGGCGAACCTCTTTCTGGACCGAGGCGCAATCTCGGTGCAATCCGAGATATGTGCAATTTCATTCGTGCATGTATGGAAGCGATCGCAAGAAGAACACCGCTCTGGCCTTTTTCGGCAAAGTGCCTCTGGACAGACTCCATGCTGAATGTGACAACAGCCACGCTCACAAATCATGGGGATGGTCCCATGAGGACCAGACCTTCTCCACTTCTTTGGAGTCGGCGTACCCGGCCAAACTGTGCAAGCA